GTGGAGGTGGCGGCTGACTGGTGGTTCCGTTATAGACAATTATAATACAATTGTATCTGTTCGCTCCATCTGAGTAAAGCTAGATTTTCGTTTATAGGGGGAGGTAACGCTGCCGTTTTGATACTATTAATGGATCCGGATATCCAGATTCCCCTTATTGCATTCCATAAGTTAATAACTAGTTGTTAGAATGGGTAAAGAAACTTTTGACGTGTCGTCTAGTAATAATTGATTACATAGACAGAGAAAAAGAAATGTGAACTCAAAAAGCCAACGCTGCCACCTACCAGCTCGCACCCCTCCTATCTCATCCTAACATCTCCAAGGTCACAAAGAAACAGCTTATCACCCCAATATTCATACCAACATTATGCTTCCAGTGCCAGACCTGGACTTTAAGTAAAAACTCATGAAAGCAAAGTCACCCGATTCGAAATGAAATGTCTCCGCAAAACCCTTAACATCACAAGACGAGACAAGCAGAGAAATGAAGAAGTTAGAGCAGCTATCGGCATTGAGTCCTGCCTGCATTACATAGGCAGACAGAGAATAGAATGGTTTGGCCACCTGTTACGTATGTCACCTGAGCAGCCAGCCTCGAGAGCCAACAACAACAAGCACTCAGGCTATAAAGGAAGAGGAAGACCACGCTAAAGGTGGATCGACGGTGTCAAGGAAACCCTGAGAAACATAATATTTCAACTTAAAGAGCTGCAGAGCTGGCCTACCATAGAAAACTGCATCTCCCCTCGACGCGTAATGGCAACAGAGAATGAAAAAGTAAAAGTAAGACAAGTCAAGCGTTTCTTTTTCTTCGAATTTAACGTTTAAGAGGGTTGTGAAAGCGAAAGCAGTACAACCAGGTGAAGGTAGGAGGAGTAGGCTGCGTGACCCCATTAGACGCTACAACAACCAGCTGATGATGGAGACAATCAGCCTGCCCACACTGAAATCGACCCTCATGAAGACGGGCGAGGAAGCATGGAGCACCCCGTCTTCCTATTTTAAGACCCCAGTTCTACATTCAAGTAATTCAAGTAATGTAACTCATTCGCTACGCCGAGCCGTGGGGGAGCTGCGCGGCTAAAGTGCCTTCAGTACGCTAAGCCGCCCCCGGCGGCTGGATAACCAATCTTCAATTTTAGCTTAGATTCTATTCCAATCCACATACCCATGTTAAAATAAAGGTCATAATATAATGTTGACTTCCGGGTCAAGCATTTCCAGTGAAAATCGGAAGTTTAGATTCAGTTTTGACACGCGATTTCGTAGTTGATTCGATTTTGTTTTATCGCGATGCCAAAATTATAGCCCGGACACCAGTCTTAGTAATTTTACTCAATACAATCTATAATTATTTCGCCCACTAAAGAAGTGTAGGACTCTTTTTTTAATAATATTGATACAATTGGATTCTTATTGCCAATGCACTGTTATTAAGAAATCAATTTTTTTAGTGCCAGATCTAGATCTAGGTCTAGATTCTAGATCTAGATCTAGATATCTAGATCTAAATTGTCAAAATATTTTTTTCAATATCGGATGTTATGATCCAAATGTACAAATATTATGGAAAGTATGTAAATAACTGCAAACTTTTCAATATTTTCCAGTTCCATATTCATTTATGGTTATTTTGATGTATCATTTGACTAGGTGCAAACATATTTTTTTAGTTTAACCAAAGATTATTAATTTTTTATTTTCAAATTTTATCCGCATCCAATCAAAATTGTGTTGCATATTCGCCTCTTGCAGGCACCAAAGTTGAAAAATACATAGATAAACATTACAGATGTATTCTACAAACCATACTGAAAATATTGGTATATAATACGTTGATATTTATTTGAATTTATGGCACCAAAGACCTTTTAACTGCCCACTAGTCATCATCTCATTCGCCCTCCAAAAAAAAAATTCGTCCACAAGCCAAAAATAATACGTAGCGAATGAGTTAACGTCCGTCTCAGATCGGAGCAAGCCAAATGGGCTGAGAGCCTTGCAACTCCACGAAACGACCCACGTTCAAAAATATCTAGTCTGGGATTCGAACTGGAGCCATACACCTCATCACTGTCCAGCATTGTACCAACTAAGGAAATGGAGCACACATGCACTCTAAGATATTATAATGATATTGTTTTTTAGGGGGTATTATTTTGGTAAGCTTTTTACGGCGCTCAAAACTGCATATGATCGCATGGGACACACTTAAAATTTTCAATTGGTAGGAAATATGTTGTACCCACTAAGGAAAATGAGCGCCCATGTACTCTAGGCTATTATAATATTGTTGTATTATTGCTTGGAGGTTAATGGTAATGTTTACCGCTATCGGCATGTTTTTTTATTTTTTTTATTTTTTATCCCTATCCCATTTATGTGAGACTGACGCCATATTTTGATTAGTAGAAAAAAGTGCGTATGCTAGAGACTAATACTAATAGTGTATTACGTAATACTTGGTATGATATGTAACTGTTACAGATAGAGATTGAAGGATTATAGATGTAAGTCAAGGATCTGAGAGCAATGATGATTTTAGAAATTTTAATAATGGTGGTGATGAGTAATGATGTGGGATTGCGTTTTAGTAATGTTAGCATATTAGTATGACGTTTTAATTTTCTCCCGCAGTATCTATTCGGAGACGTGACTGACGGAGATAGACCAATCAAAATGCGTTGGGCCTCTAGACCAAGTAAAAAAAATCTTGGTGGTCACAGGGGGGCATGCCACCCTGGTGTAATCTATAATTTTATATTTTGCAATTAGGTTTGAAATTTCTTGAAAATAATTTATTTGCGACAGTTTTAGCGGCTATATGTGTGTTCTGCAGCAAACAATACGCAGTTTGACCCCCCAAAGCAGTCCATCTGTGTGCGGGAGTACGTCTCCGAATAGTTTTGGGTGCTCGCCGGAGACGTCTCGAATATCTTCGGCCATTTTCTCCACATTCAATAAACGTAATAACAAACTTCATGAATTTATTTTTAATTTTTCAGCCTCTCCGTCTGATTACAAGATTATTCTTCTGGCTGATTTCAGAAGTTATAATGTAAGTTTTAATGGTATTGTTTTCTGCTCAGTCTTTAATTAATCAATTGCGGTGTGTTTTTCTCCGTTTTGTTTTTTCGGCCAGTCTGTCTGTCTATCTGTCCGTCCATCTGTCTGTCTGTTTATCTGTCTGTCTGTCTGTCTGTCTGGCTGTCTGTCTGGCTGTCTGTCTGTCTGTCTGGCTGGCTGGCTGGCTGTCGGTCTGTCAGTCTGTCTTGGAATTAGTTTACTATCTACAATCTGAAACCTTCATAATAAGTTTATTGTTATTCAAGAACGTGTATTTCTCTAAACTATTTTTAGCCTGAGTGTGTTTGTGTAAGTGAGAATCTCTGTGTGTGTGTGTGTGTGTGTGTGTGTGTG